ACAAATGGCAACCCATAATGTTGTAAAAGTTGCACCAAATCAACAGAAAATGTGTTATTTTATCTGTTTTAGGGCGCCTCCTGAGTACCATATTGATACGGATAAAGGCTTTAACTATTCTCCAGCTGATGAGGCCTTTGTGTGCCAGAAGAAGAACCACTTCCAGGTCACAGTTCACGTTGGTGTGGCTGCAGAGCCACATTATGTCAGAACACCCAGCAGTCTGCAGAAAATCGACCACTTCCAGATTAAAGTGTTTGGGATTAAGGTTCACAGCATCTTCTGTTTCAATGTAGAAATGATGATGTCTCTTTCCAGTACTCAGAAATACAAATCAAAACTGTATTTTTTGTAGCTTGAAACACCCAGCCATGAGGTGACGATAGAGCAGTCTCAACCTGACCGCAGCAAGAAGCCCTTCCACCCCGTCAGGTTTGGATTAAAACTACATTAATCTTCATAAACCAATCAGCCAATCTGAAGAGTAAATGTTTACTTTTCTTGGCGTTATGCACAGACACATTCACAGCTACACATTTTGTAGTCGTTAACTTGAGAAAAGGTTGTCCTTCTTCTCACTTTCTGCTATGAAATCTGAGGTGAGTCGGCTAGTAATCATAGTAGTTATGGTAATTATAGCTAGCATAGCAGCTGGTTGTTTTGCTAGCTAAATGGTAGAATAGCTAAATCGTAGAATTGAGGTTCTAATCTTAGCAATAACTCCATGGGTGTAGAGCTTCCTTTTATATACATCGCTCTCTGTCTTGACTTTTTGAATACAATTTCAGTAGAATTAAAAGCAGAAAACCGTGAAAATTATGTGTTAAGACATGTATCTGTCATCATCCAGGGTGAGTTTGCCTTGTGGCAAAATAACCACAGTAACTCTTGGTCGACTGCACTTTAGCGAGACAACGGCCAACAACATGAGGAAGAAAGGCAAACCCAACCCTGACCAGAGGTATGACAGCAGGCACACTCAGGAAACAATGAGCTCTAGAGGAAATAAATGCTAACTGTGTGCATGTGTGCAGGTACTTTCAGATGGTGGTTGGCCTTTATGCTGCCGTCAAAGATGAGACTTTTCTCCTGACTGGCCTGGTGTCAGAGAAGATCATTGTTAGGGTAAAATCACTTTCTGTAACCAATATTTAAATAACCAAACCTGCAAGTAGGGCTGGGAGATATGGCTTAAAATAAAATCTCTGATTTCTTTCATACCAGGTCAAATTTCCAATTTTATTAGTTTTTTTTTTCTTGCTTTGTTTCTAAACATTAATTGCAAATGAGAAGAATTTTCAGAAAATGGCTTTTATTTCAATTATCCCTCCTACATAAGTATCAAGGTCACACTATGAGAATTTCTGTTTAATTACGAGAATAAAGTCATAGTATTAGCAGAACAAAAATGCAATTTACCAGAAAAAATGTCTAGAAATTACAAGAAAAAATTAGTTTTAATGAATAATGAAGATATTACAACTTTATTCTGGTAATAGTATGACTTTATTCTTATAATTAAAAATAAAAAATGGCAGCTTGATCCTAATATTCCTTCATAGAGTTGACCTGAACTCAAAATGTAAACAGATAGAAGGTGCAAAACAAGATGGCCGCCCTGGGCATGCTCTCTGAGCTATGGAAGTCCAAAGAGCACACTGGTGTGAAAAAAAATCCAGATTTTCCTACAATTAAATCCTCAAAAACCAAAAATTCTGTTAATCGATGAAGTTGACTTATCACCCAGCTTTACCTGCGACTGTTGAATTAAACTGATGTTGTCCAACGCCTTAAGGCGTCCAATCCAGGCCAGTTTGAGACGGACAGCGACACCTTGTGGCAGCGCGGGTCAGCGCCGGACTCCGCGGTCTGTTACGGTCGGGTCGGTGTCAACACTGACTCCCCAGATGAAGCCTTGGTGGTGTGCGGAAATGCTAAGGTGATGGGTGCCATCATGCAACCGTCTGACAACCGAGCCAAGCAGAACGTACAGGAGGTAGGACAAAACAAGCCGGGGTTCTTATGTTCCCACAGAGCTTCTGTGAGTTCAGTGAAATAATTTTGTCTTTTAGGTCGACTCTGAACAACTGCTTAAGAGAATCAATCAGATGAGGATAGTTGAATTTGACTACAGGCCAGAGTTTGCCTCCAACATGGGAATAGATCACACCCATCAGACAGGTACTGGTATTCATAGCTAGAACTGGTACACTGTGACTTCTAAAGGGTTAAATATTTCACATTTATTAAAATCATGTGACATTTCAGGAGTGATTGCTCAGGAGGTGAAGGAGCTGCTTCCATCGGCGGTCTTGGAGGTCGGTGACGTCGTCTGCTCAGACGGAGAAGTGATACAAAACTTCCTCATGGTTGATAAGGTGTCTTTACATTTATCATCTATATTCAAATGTGCAATTCTTAAAGGGGACCTATTATGTAAAATTCACTTTCTGCGCATATGTATACTTCCATTTGGATCTCAACTGCTTCTGAAAACAGTTCAGCCATTTTTTTGGCAATGTGTGTTTGACTTTTGGTATCTGGAAAATAAGCCCTTTCAAAAACCTCCCAATTGTTAAGTCACATTGCGCCGTTACCTAGCAACCCCAGCAGAGTTCTGCCCATTACCTAGCAACCCCAGCAGAGTTCTGCCTGTTACCTAGCAACCCAACCTGAGTTCCAGCATGCTTGGTCAGATGTTTTTAGCTCTGTGTATGCTGTACAATGGCTGATGGAAGATACAAGTATTTAGTTGTTGACTTACCATCCAGAAACCACTTGCTACATTCTTGTTGGTTGTCCAGGAGTCTTCACTTCAGCTTTTCAAAGATGAACAATTGTATAATTGTGCATCTGTTTGAAGCCATTTTCACATGCGATCATAAATGTTGAGTTGGGGGTCGTGGCCAGCAGCAGCTTATCTGGATTTAAAGAGACAGGAGACCCTAAAACAGCTCATTCTGAACTGACCAAAATCTAATTATATAACAAAGATTTTGTGCCAAAAATATAATAAACATGTTTTATATAGCCAAGAGAGCTATCCTGAGAAGCATAATATGCCACCTTTAACAACTAATGATAAAGAAAATTCACAACATGTTGGCAGATATAGCCTTTAACATTCCTTTCCTCCCTTTACAGGAGCAGATCTTCATGGAGAACGTGGGAGCTGTACAGCAGTTGACGAAGCTTACAGACAACCTGGAAACTCGTATCCAAGAGCTGGAAGGTTGGAACCGCAGACTGGCAAAGTTGAAGAGCCTAACAGGCAGTCTGCGCTCCACCAGGTACTCATCTTTATTTATCTAATCTTTACATCTGTAGCTGGAGAGGAGAAAGTATCCAAAGGGTGGGGTTTAATAGCAAGATGAACGAGATTACAGGCAGTTATCAACGGGTTCCAGCTGACAGCTTTGACTGGGCCAAGAAATCTGGGCCTAGATTGGCCTCCACCTTTTAATTGTAAATGTCTGAATTTATAACTTAATGAAAGAATTCATTTAGCGAATAAAATTAAAAATTATACTTTAGTGAGCGCTGCTAACTAAAAAGTTAATGGTGCTAACCGTAAAATGCTAATCTCAAATGGTAGTACTGCAAACGTTAGCGCAAAAAATGTATGCATTGTCATTTATTCTTGAAAAATTAGATTAGATTTTTTTATATATATTTGAAAGGTCTGAATTTATAACTTATTGAAGGAAATAATTTAGGGAATAAAATTAAAAATTAAATACATTGTGGTTAGCGGTGATAAATAAAAAATTAGAGGTGCTAGTCATAAAGAATAGTCTTGCTAACGCTAAAATGCTATACTAACATAATTAGCAGAGTTTATTGCTAAAGCATTAAGTTCAACTGTATTCATACCCACTATGTGAAAATGACAGGATGTGTTATATCGCCCCCTACTGAGCCAAATTTGTTGTTGTCTATCTGTACAATTTGCGCTTCAGGAAGTGTAAAACTACAGGCTGCAGTTCTACAGGCTATAGTTCTACAGCAATCAATTTATTCATTTGTTGTATACTTGCCTCTTGCTTAATAAAGTGTTTTTTTTTAAATAAGAGAGAATGTGAGGAGAGGAAACAGAACTGTAACATAGACAGACTTCAAAATAAGAGCATGAATAGAACAGATGTCAAACTTTATCCAACTGAAAGTTTGCAAAAAACAAACAAAAAAAAAAGCCAAGTAAATTAGTGTGCTGGAATTTATCCTGAAAATTTAATTTAAGGGAAGCTAATTTTGCTAAATGTTTTAAAAGTTAGCAAAACCGCTAAAGAAAACATTAGCTAAGCTATTAGTGCATTAGCTGAAGTGTGTCCACCACTGGAAATGTGTATCAAAATGATACATTAAAGTTTTACGTTTTTAAGCAACTTTTTTAAATGTTGTGTTACTGTAATATGTAATTTATGTAAAAACATAACAATTTACATTAAAAAAAATTTCTGCGTTTATATATTTCACATAAATATAGAATAATTTATTTGATGCACAATTCAGTTTTATTACAATTTTCACATTTGAACATGTTGGGTTTTGACACTTTTGGCTTTCCATACAATAAACCATCTACCATTACAGCAGAAAACATGGAGATGCCAAAGTAACGGAGCTGCTTCCTGATTCAGAGTCAGGTTGAACCTGGATATTTGACCTGTCTTTGAACATTTTACATTTTACTGGCACAAATGAATAAAATCAAAGTCAGAAAAAGCTATATGTATTTTTTTGGTCCACTTCTGATCAGTTGTGGTTCTAAGTCCAGAGACAGATTACTTGTAACCGTGCAGCAGCGTGGAAAAACTGATAAAATGACTCTATTGCATAACCGCGGCTGTAGAGAAACTGAAGGACGTTGCGGTTCAAGGACAGGTTTTCTGGATTCTCCTGCAGATTTTCCGCTTTGCCATACCTCCTTTCACTAGACGCTGCTATGCACTGTTAGCCTGACTCTGAGTGCTTTAGTCAGGTAATGTAGGTCAAGGACAGTCAGGAGGCAACAGCAAATTATTTTCACCTTCCTATTTATTCTGATAATGTAGAGGTTTTATTATCCTAATCACATACTATAATCTATATGTCTGGAAGCAGAACCGGCAGTTGCATATCAGTAGATAACCCCGTCTGTAACTGGACCTGCAGCAGACTTCACCATTACTTATCTGAATAGTAAATACTAGAATAAACCAACTTCAGATCTTCAGAACTTTAACAGCATAGGAAATACCCAACACTGACTGAAAATGCTACGTAAATTTGTCAGGATCATATTTTTTTCTGATATTTCCATCATGAAAAAATGCTGCTTTTGTGTTGGCATAAGCAGCTTATATCCGTTATTTTATAAGAAAAACTATCTCATAAGCAGAGAATATGAGATTGTTTCCGATGTTCCTGAATGCAACACCTGGGACTTTTTGAACCATCTGCCAAAGCTGTGATTCCTCAGGGTCAAAGGTTGAAACTGAGGGGGGGAAAATGCATTTTTTTCAGTTTCAAATCTTTTTGCAAATTCCCCTCCCCCCCTCTATTTACTTCTGTTTCAAATGTTTTTTTTATTTAAAATATTTTTATCTTTATCTTTTTCAATTAAAATTTTTTTTTTCCAATTACAATTTTTTTCAGTTTCAAATCTTATTTTTTCAAATAAGTTTTTTTTTATCTGTTTCCAATCTTAACCTACTTCTGTTTCAATTTTATTTTTTCAGATCTATTTATTTTTCAGTTTCAAAAATTTTTTTCCAGTTCCAAATCTTATTATTTTCTATTTCAAATTTCATTTATATCAGTTTCAAATCTTGAATTTTTTCAGTTTGAAAAGATTTTTTCCAGATTTTTTTTTTCTCTTTCAGTTTAAGATCTTGGTCAATAATCCCAAACTAAGCTTCTTACTTGCTTTATCACCTTTTTATCACTTACGGCCTTTACTGTTTTATTTGTAGCGACCTTTTGCACGTGACTTCACGCTCTCCAGAACTCCGCCATGATGGACATCGAAACAACCGATGCGCTCCTTCAAAGCTAGTCTAAAAACAGACTTCTGTAACCTAATACAAAAACAAAAACAAACATTTTGGGTCCAATTTAGCTCCATACAGAACTAACAGAATGACTGGAGTATATCACTTCATGTTTAATGCATCTACTTAGTATTTAATTAATGCATTTCACTTTTTGAAATAAATAATTTACTAAGGTTTTTAAAATTTGCTGGTGTATAGATGGTGAAGTTCTCGTGTGTTCTCCAGCAGTAAAGCTCAGGTCAACGCGTCGGTGCCACCAACCCCAGAACCGGGTAGAGCTGCAACCACTCAGAAAAACGTCTGGTGTCAGAAATTCATCCAAATTCTTCAGAATAAAATCTTCCTGGCCAGCATCTTTACCTTCCTGATCACTATGGCTATCTGGTGAGGAAAGTTATGCTACTGCCTGCCTTTCTACATAAAGTTAAATATAAGTAAAAATGATTTTTGTGTGTTTTTGTTTGCAGTATAATCTCCGTTTCAGTTCTCCACCTGGTAACTGTGAAGGCGGTAGACATTGAGAACCTTCCCAGGTAGCCATCAATATTTTTTTTAAAAACATTTATATGATAAATAACTCTTGATAATATTCATCTTCCTGCTCCATTAAGGAAGTTTAAACATAATGTCCATGTCGTTGTGTGGTTGCCATGATGTGATTTAATTTTATTTTATCTCCTTTAGCACCAGCACTGTATTGCCTATGTGGACAGAAGAATCACCTACAACAGGTACTGTCCTCGCTACAATGCCACACTTAAATCAGTCTGGAAATATTAATTAGTATTTATTGATCTCAAACATTTAGATGTGGAAGAAAATCAAAACTTGTTTATTTTTTACAAGCGACATTCATGAATGTTATTGCTTAGATTTTCTTATTGTTGTTCACATTTATATTATAATGCTAGTAGTCCTTCATTCCCCATATTTGTCCGTAACAATGTTATTGTAGTTAAATAAAACTAACAAAACTTAAATTGGGAAAAAATTGACACTGAAAAAAATAACACAGAAAAACAGTTGTAGAATAAAATAAAGCTGCTTTTTTCTTTCTCTCTGTGTCGGCTGTGCTACACGTTCACGACGCCACTTTATGTTTCAGGATTTAATACCAAAAACACTCAAACATTTCCCACACAAAGAACAGAACATTCAGTCCATTACAGTTTTATGTTTTCAGGTCTGATGGTTACTTTGAAATTATTACTGATTGATTGCTGTGGCAGATTAGCTACCGTTGCTAGTAGCTAACCTAACACTGTGTTGGCTGATTATCAAATTTAAACACCTGCTCTACTGAAGATCTGTCAGAGTGGGTGTTTAGCTTGCTTTTTTTTATTTTTTTAACTGAACCGAAACACATTGAATTCCACAGCACATCTACATGTTAAGATTGTCATAGTCAAGCTAGCATAGCTGAACTACTTCCTTCTTCCTTTCTTCATGAAAACTTTTTCCTGACCTTGTTATCTAGCTGTCCTACTGTGTTTTCAAAGTCCTGCTGCAACGGGTCTAAAATGAAAAACCCAAACTATTATAAAATAAAGCAAGAAAATAAAGTTAATATGCTAACAGTGAGTTGCACTTCCAGTCTCAGCACCAACAACTGCAGTCCCAAAAACAACGCCTCCGGGTTCCTGGCCTCCTGATGTGAGCTTCTGTGATCTGCTGTTCTGCAATGAGGTGTTCTGCTGCCCTTCGTCTCCAGTGGGCAGCACTTTCTCCATCAGGCCGACCTCTGATCCAGCCATAAACTCAACAAGAACAGGTAACAGCAGCCCAGAAGAGCCAGATAAGTTAGCCAGATAAGCAGCATAATGTAAGAGCAGAATCAGGCTGGTGTTTTTGTTCAACAGGAGCAGGAAAAGAAACAATTAATCACCTGAAAGCTACTGGAGACTGTGAGTATTACATATCACTGTTGTAAAGGACAAATAAATTTAAACATGTTTTCAAAATGAAACAAGCTCGCAAAAGTATTCATATCCCATGAACTCTATTATTTTGCAACCGTAAACTTTAATGTTTGTGTTTTATGTGATTGATAGACTCTTTCCTCTCCATCAGGGCGAAACACAACCATTCATACATTCATGATTAAAGAGAACAACCAGGTGATTGACGGCAAATACTGCATGAGGGATGAATGTGGGTAGGTCGATCAATAGAAATTAAATGACAAAACAATTAACTTTAATTTGCTTCCTTGGACTAGTTGTAGTAACATTTCTGTCTGTTTTGTTTTGTTTTCTTTTATTTAGGCCTGGGAGATACATTTTTAGAGTTCCTGTCAGCCAGTTTGTCCCTGTCAACATGAGAGTCACGCTGCTTATGAAGTAAGAACTGATGGAATCAAAACACAGAAAATAAAACAAATTTTTATGACTTGCTTAAATATTTTGCAGAAACTCCTCGTCTCTCATGTAAGAGCTCAGTTTTTTCCTTGATGGATTTAGGAATTTTGCCAAAGTAGTCTTACCCTTGACACTTTTTCACACTTCAGCTGCCATTAACTTGTCAGCATCAACAAATTCCTAATAATTGCTTCTTAGCTTAAGGTACAATTAGCTGCTACTAATTTGCTACCAAAGGATGAAAAAATACCCATAAGAAATCATTTTAAACCTCATATCAGATCAGATATATGGCCTTTAAAGTGGCTGGTTCCTATGAAGTTGAAGTTTATTAAACATTTTTGCCCAAAATTCTCAAACTCCTCGAATTTATAGTTAGCTAGTTAGCATCATACTCTTGCTGTTAGCTAGCAGAGGTCTTTTTGATCCCTAGCTGACGGTATACTAGCTTTCTTTGTCTGAACAATATTTCAAAGTAAAATTTACTGTATAATGTTCCCCTCATATTTAGGCCCTATACTGTATGTAACATCTTACTATTTTAATTATTAACATAATTTAAAAAAACAGCCAGTTAGCGCCATATTTTTGTGGTTTACTAGCAGTAGCTTTTTTTTGCTCCCTGGCAAATGGTAAACTAAGCTGCTTTGAATAATATTTTAACGGTAAAACCTCACAGGAATAATAAATTATCCAAGCTTGACATCTTCAGTTAGCGTATTGCTAACTGATTTCTGGTTAACAGTAATCTAAGTTACTTTCTTTGAAGATTGATTGTGTAAAATGTTCTTATTTATTATGTTTCAGTTCTTCTGAATTGCTGGTGGTTCATCTATGTGATGTAGATGAGTCCACCCCTTGTTCTGCAATAACGAAAGAAAGAGATGACTCTGAATATAGGTACCCATCAAATACACAGGTACATTTTTTTATTGCATTTCTGTCTAAATCAGTTTTAATATTACACAAAAATTGGGAAAGTGTGTATAAACGGCTAATAACCATAGAAATGTTTTTTTAGAAATGGACTTTACCCTCTCTGGAAGATTTTTATGTGTTTGGTCCAGGTTAACAAATAACAGAAAATTTGAAAATTCATATTTTGTCATGTTATTGGTAGTAGTGGACCGAAATGCAAAAGGCTGAAGGCGTAGATGGAGATGAAGATTTAATACAAAAAGTGATGAGGCTTACAAAATGCAGCAGGATGTGAGATCCATGGACCAGGGCAGATGAGCTAATTGATAATAATATAATATATAACAATACTTGGAGCAGGAGAAGCTAGGAAGATGCACAAGGGAACAAGAGAGCGGGAAATAACTCCTAACACTGAAGAAACACCACGACTAGAGAAAACATGATAAACTAGGAGGAGACAAAGACATGAGGAGAAACTGTACAAGAATTAAGTCTGATTTAATAACAAGAAGAACTAAGGAACACAGAAACTAGAATAACTAAAAGGACTAGACATAGAAATAAACCTAACTAGAATCACTGAGGAAGGATAGAGGTAGACCATAAAAGATAAAGAGGAACAGAAAAAAAAGAAATAAACAAAACCAAACCCAGAAACCCCAGAGTCTTTACAGATGTTTATTAATTTAAAGTGAAAAATTCTTCATACAGTGAAGGTAAAATTGTTACACAAAAGATCCTACAGTGGGTAGAGTTGGAAAATAATTTACTTATTCGATTAATTTGTCTGTTTCTGCAGGGGGAACATGAGTGGCCTCTTCATGTGGCTCTCCTCCATTACAGTTCATATCACTTCCGGTCCTCAGTAGCTGTAAGAAACAAATTATTTCTTTTTCATATTACATAAATCACAAATAGCTAGCCAGCTACAGTATCAGAAAATTAACCATATTCATGGTAATTTAGGCAGCAGCTAACTATATTTATGACAGTTTGTTATTTTATTACAAACATTAAAATCCCTTGGATATTTTATTTAAACATTTATTTAAACCATGGAAATATTTGTAACTGTTGCACGTTTCTCCAGGGTCAAGCAAACTGCAGTACTGACCACCACTACGCGGGGGCGCTCTTTACAGATTATTACTTCCACTTCTACAGACGCTGCACAGAGACATAAACATTAGCTTCTTCCTGAAAATTAATTATGACAAATGATCTCATTTAGCAGATCTCTGCTTTTACTGACAAAAAAACCCTGAAAACTTTTACTACACTGTTGTAATGTTTGTTTTTCATAAATTCCAAATGCATTTTATTGTGAAAGGAGGCAATTCTTCAGATTACGTAACTAGTCACATTAAATCTGTTTTTGGACATTTCTTGCTTTGCTGATCTTGACTCAGAAAAATTTAAAACAAAATGAATAAAAAAAACTGCTGTTTGCATTTTTTTCCTCAGTGAAGCACTTGAAAGTTTTTCTTTGTTTACGTAAAGCCTGAATTTGTAGAGTAATAAATCTTTGCTCAGGGGCTTAGAAATGAGATTAGAAATGGCTGGTTAGCAGTTTATACTTCTGTTGGCTACTTAAAGAAACAAATGTCTTAAATCTGTTAAGTATTTGAAATATTTCAATTACTTGATGTTTCTGTTGTTGTGAGACTAAAGTAGTACACAAAATGGGCAAAAAAATTGAAAAATATATATTTTGTATCAAAAATGTGAAATTACAATGCCAACTTTATGAATTATTAAATACAAACATGGACTTCTGAAACCCAGTCCCATTTCATATCCAGACCTGCAAATGTTCACTGACCCAGATTCTGCGGATTATTTTGATGTAAACCTGGGTTGGTGGTGGTTCTGGTCTTACTGGGCCAGTTTCTTTGTTCAGTTTATGTTAGATGTTTAGTTTCTGAAAGCCTCCTGATTGAAATAATTTGACCTATGGCTGGGTTTTACTGACATCTCAGACAAAATTTAGTGTTTTCACTCCTGGTTTGATTGCTGACAAGATTGCAACATTTGTTATATTTTCAGTTTATGTAGTTCACTTTCACACTGCACTGAGTCAAACAAATCACACCCTCTGAAAAACCTGTTCCCCTCCTCGCCTGTAGGGGCGCTGCTCCAATAACTACTGAAAAAAGCAACACAAAAACTTCAGGAGAAGACACTAACTTTATTTCCATTACAAAAGTGCACAAAAGTTTTACAATATTCTGCTAATGTAAAAAAACAAAACAAAACAAAAAAAAAAGTTTTGCAGTTGTGTGGACAGGATGAAATGGGATTGAGTCTAAATAATACAAAAATGCTGTGGTTACCTGAAAGAAGGATACAGTGACGTCGTGAGTTATTTATGAATGTAAAAGTGTTTAACGTAGTCTTTTCTATGAGCTGAGTGAATCCCAACTGCTTTAATAAAATATTTTTAAATGTTCTTGGATGGTTGTTTTAATTTTTTTACATTTTGTATGATGTTTTAGAGGTTGAGAGCTTTTTTTCCAATATCCAAACTTCTCACTTTTTACATATTTAATCCACTCTACTGACAGAACTGCAGCTAATTCAGACTTTAGAAACCAGAAGATATTTATGACTAAGAGCAGTGAAGAATAAGATGAATGTAAAAGATGGTTTAACACTTCTTTATTTAATTCTGGATGGCAAGTCAACAACAAAACACTTGCAAAGCACATAAAGCGGTAAAACGAGCTGACCAAACTGTTGGAATTCTGTTTGGGGTTGCTAGGTAACAGGCTGGGGTTGCTAGGTAACGGGTTGTGCCTACAGATTTATGATGTTACATTTTGGAAGTTTTTGAAATGGCTAATTTTTCAGAGTAATAAGCCGCCTTTAATCAATTTAATATTTTCGTAGAAGTTAACCTTTTAGCCGTCAGTAGTATTTATTTGGAGTTTTGGTCTTGAAATGTGTTGTTTCATTATTCTTATAGCTTATTTAAATAAGCAGCAAAATGTAAATATTGTTTTGATACTTCTTTACATTTTTTTTCATGTCCACTCTGATTTTTGATAGATTAGTCTGATTTATTTGTTTATTTTAAGGAAGTCTCAACAAAAAACATGTTTTTATCCAAGATGAGGCCTTAATTACCTAAAGATCTGTATGCTGCAAGATAAATTAAGTTTATTATCATTCCTTTATCAGAATGAGATGGCATCAACTTTGGGTAAAATTGTTTCTGGATTTCTGTAAATGTAATATTTATCAGTATTTCCCTTCTTAATGATGTCATCTACCTGAGCTGATTATTCACTAGCAGACTGATGACTAATTCAGGTGGAGGACGAACAGCACAAAGGCAAACTAATAAGGTCTCAGAGCGAAACACCTGGTCTGAAGAGAGGAAGGCTGAGTTACTGGACGGAAACAAGACGTGACCAGAAATGGACCCTGTAAGTACCAGCAATCCTAAATATGTTATTAGTGTGAATGCTTTAAGCATTAGATTTGACTTGGATTGAACCCATGACCTCAGCATTACCAGCACCACGCACTGACCAGCTGAGCTAAAGTACCTACTTTACATACTGTTGAGTTTCCATCGATTTAAGAACACTTTAGAAAAAAGTGTTAATATTCTAATGTCTTTCAAAATCAACATGCATAATACCTGTAGTTTATTTTCCTTCAATTTTTAATTTTGAAGTGTTGATTGTCTTTTTATTTTGAAGTTTTGATTGTTTTTCAGAACCATTTTTTATTTTGAAGTGTTGATTGTCTGAAAGACTTTAGCTTTGAATTGACCAGTATGGGGGCTGAACCCATGACCTCAGCGTTACCGGCACCACGCGCTGACCAGCTGAGCTAAAGTACCTACTTTACATACTGTTGAGTTTCCATCGATTTAAGAACTTATATGCTCTTCACACTGAAGATTTAAGAAAAGTTCTCATATTCTAATGCTTTTCAAAATCAACATGCATAATGTTTAATTTTCCAGCCTTTTTGTATTTTAAAGTGTTGATTTAGCCAGAACGGGGATTGAACCCATGACTTTGGTGTTATTATCACCACGCTCTGAGTTAACCAGCCATACATAATATAGAGGGTTTTATCGCCACACTTTGGACACCCCTGTGTTAAGTACTATAATTAGAAATCATAACTGAATTTTTAAAAAGCAGTAGTTAGTATTTGTTTTTGTCAGAAAAAAATAAAAAAATTCCCCTCTCTCCCTCCATGGGTGGTCTCTTTCATCCTCTGAGCTCGGGTCCTCTACCAGAGGCCTGGGAGCTTGAGGGTTCTGCGCAGTATCTTGGCTGTGCCTAGAACTGCACATTTCTGGACTGAGATGTCTGATGTTGTTCCTGGGATCTGTTTGAGCCACTGCTCCAGTTTGGGGGTGACTGCCCCGAGGG